ACGGACCAACATGTGGGCAATAACATCAGCCATATGTACAGCTGCGGGTCTCATTTCGTCGACTTTCAGAAGGAGTGAATCCGGCTCCACTCGCGGGGGAGGCGAGAGTGCTCGGGTGCATCCTGCCCAGTCCAGGTCGCCGCCAACCAGAGCAGCCATGGGTCACGTCTCTCCGCCGAAGTTTCGCCATGCCACCACTCCCAGAGACCACCTCATAAACGCCTTCCTCGAGTTTGTCGCAGTAATAGAGGCAACAAAACAAGTTAACTTGCGAACTTGCAAAACGATCCTGCAGACATATCTGCAGGGTAACGAGCTGTTACTGAATGATAGACTCGAGGCTGCGGAGGCGGTCATATACGACAACAGTAAATCGAGAGTATTGAGAGGCGCTTCTATAAGTCGTAGTATGGCAGCTTACAACGCCACCGCAGGATTTGTAACTCTGGATGAGAAGGAATCGGATAAACGGGGAGTTGTGAAATTTAAAACTCCTCCTGAAGACTCCTTAGTGGTAGTTGCCGGGTGCACCAGGATCATGTTGGAGGATCGGATCTTGGAAATGGTGGGATCCATTTCGGAGCCTGGGCCGGGTGGCGTGGACTTTGGGGGCTGGGATGCCCCGACATTTCACTGGACAAATGGAGTGCCGGGATGCGGCAAAACTACATGGATAATAAACAAATTCGAAGCGGAAAGAGATTTAATCGTCACCACAACAACTGAAGCAGCAAATGACCTCAGAGGCAAACTATCCTGCCGAATCGGAGGATTAGTCAAATCCAAAGTCCGAACAATGGCATCCATTTTAGTGAACGGATTAAAAGAGCAAGAGAGCTGCCACCGAATCATGGTTGATGAGGCTCTCATGAATCACTTTGGGGCCATTGTGATGGCGGCCCGAATAACTCGGGCCAAAGAAGTTCTGCTGATTGGTGACATAAATCAACTTCCCTTCATTGACCGAGACAACCTCTTCCCCCTCATTTACAACCGCCCTACACACGTCGTGGCTATTAGCCAAGAACTTCTCTGCACTCACAGAAACCCTATGGATGTGGCATATGCTCTTAGTACTGTGTACAGTGGCATATATTCGTCCGCGTCGGGTGTGAGATCCCTTGAGTTAAAAAGCTTCTCAGGGTCGCGAATACCCAAATCTCCTCCGAACACGTTATACCTGGTACACACTCAGGTAGAAAAGGAATCCCTTAAAAACCAGGGATACGGATCGGGTGTGGGATCACGCGTACTCACAATACACGAGGCTCAGGGGCTTTCGTACGCGGCAGTGGTTGTTGTGAATACAGAGGAGAAGAAACAGCGGATACACGACAGTGTATCGCACGCCGTGGTAGCTATATCCCGTCACACTAACAGCTGTGTTTACTACACGAATATCAGTGACGACGCGATCAGCAAATTAATCAGACGAGCGGTGGGTGAGAGTGAGCGGGGGATCCTGGACTATAACTTGAAAATGGCTATCAGCAACAGGGACATGGCGGTAGTGGGCGCTCTTTTGGGTGGGGAGGGCTCGCTGTAAGCTTGAATTGTGATGCAAGCGTGACATTAATATATATTTGTGTGTGTTTAATAATGTTAAAATGTAGTAAATATAATGTAACGTAATGTAAATTTTATCAATAAGACTGACATAATACATTGGCACTACTGGAATCGGCTTACTGCTGCGTGAGCAGACGTCATGCATTCTTAAATGTTCTACAGTCGGTGGCGCTGTGGACTGGGTCGCTCCGTTCCCTACGAAATGGTTGATCGGACCGATTGCTGGCCCTCACGTCATGCTCGTGAACGGGCGCCTTCTGCTGGAGCAGGTCGGCTCGCTCATCGCGCGTGTGGGCCGATCCAGTAAGGTTAATGTAAATGTAATAAAACATGTATTGTGTATATATAGATATTAGACACAACCTTCTTTGTGGAAAAAAAAATGTGGTTAATGTAGCACGTAAGATTTTTGTAACAATTAATTTTGACTGTAAATTAAAAGATTATGTAATGGAATGACAAGGGCACGGACAAGAGTCCGTGGAGAATAAGAAATAAAATAAAAAAAAAAAAAAAAAAACTGTCGGCGCTGCCCATGGAGACGGCAACCGCAACACCATAGAAAAATGTGAAAGAAAACTTATGTATGATGGAAATGTTTCCTTTAAAATTATATAAGGAATATCCCTCGACAGTATTATACCTATCTTTTATGGTTGACTCCAGTTGACTCACAATAACTCGTGTACTCGTGTAGTTCCCGATAGATTAGCATTTCGAAGGTTTCTGGTTATATTTGTCTACTCTTACGTATATAACTCTAAGTCATTCCTAATTATAAAAGTAACATTAACTATTCCAAAAAAAATAATCATAGAAATCGGAATAGTTCACTCAATGAACCTAGTATTTCTACCTGGAATGTTTTCCGGGAGTCGTGAAAACTGGCATTTTGAGTTCGTTTGCTCTTTCCAATTACTCTTAGGTGCCGTTCCAGACGTTGCACATCAAAATTTCATCCGGATTATTTGCGATGCACATTTGTAGATTCATTGCATTTTCAATTAAAGCATTTTCGTTTAAAAATAACGACTATGACATCAAGATGGTTGCCCAAGACGGTATCTCCTATGTGCGGTTCATCAGAAACAGCTCAGGCTGGAGATTATGGCAAATTTCTAAAATATGTAATCACAATCATACGAGCATTAAGGTCGATAAAGGACTAAACTATAAAAAAGTCCGCCGCTTGCTCTACTTTCATGTGGCGTGAATTTTTTTTTCCCAAAATGTTCATAAAAATATACTTTGTTGTACTTTGGCGCCAAAACAAAAACGGAACGCTCCCGATAAACGCCGACACGTGATGGGAGAATAAGAAAACAAGTTTTATTTTCATAAAAGTAAGGAATTAAATGGTTTTTTTAATGAAATAATATTTGTAATCATCTGCTTCAGGCTGATGTTGCGTGAATAACACGAAAACAAAACGATTAAAATTGTAAAAACAAGCTGGCAGAAGCTAGTATATTAATAAAATCATTATGTACAATTAGTGGTCTATCTAAGTCCTGGATCAGCTCAGGGGGGCATGACTCCCATGATCCCCTCCCTGGATCCGCCCTTGATTAGACTAATTAACGGGTCATTTCCGTACGAAAAGTGTTAAAATATGTATTAGGCAGTAAGGTAACAGCAACTTAATCGACATAATACATAACTGTAATAATATAGAGTACCTACAAACCTCGTTTCTCTGCTCTGGCTAACTACTCCTGAAAACGTACCGTGTCTTTAGGGAACACTGCCCTATTTACTAGGCCACAAATTAGCACGGGATAGCAATGTTGTATCACAAATATGGCCCAAAGGCATCATAAAATTTTACTTACCTCTTGCCAGCAGAAAATCAGGTAAGAAATTTAGAATAGGTGCATTGCAATTGCAAATTTAGAATACCTGATTGGAAATAGAAAATGTGACTTTAGTGTTTGTAAACGCTAAGTAACTGTAGGTTATGATGTAGGAATCCTCCAGCAGAATAAAAACTAAATATTTTCTCAGTTGTTAGTGAAGCATGCATTTCGCAAAGTAACGCCTGATTCGATTCTATGCATATATTGTTCTATACCTAAACTATAGCTGTTGCCCGCGACTTCGTCCGCCTAGAATATGATTCCTGTTTTATCCCATGGGAGCATTTAATCCGGATAAAAAGTCCTATCACCTAAGCCAGTCCATACCCTGCCTGTATACCGTATTTCATGAAAATCCGTTCAGCAGTTTCAACGTGATTGACGGACAAACATCAAAACATGCAAACAAAGAAACTTTCACATTTATGATATTAGTGTGATTTAGGGTTCAATAAAATATTCTGATTAAGCCATTAAATTATTAAAGTGAACGGAAATGCCTTCCTTTTTGCGTTTAGACACCTAGTAGAACAAGAACAGGCAAATGACAATAACTTGTAAAGCGTAAAGGTTTATTTGTATTGCTTTATCTACTCACATATTAATAAAGAGCACAATATTTTCGAAGTAGCTCTAATGACACTAATTAAGCAATTGAAAATTAACCTTTAAGTATCGCCGCTTAAACGTACTTTTATCAAAAGATGTATTTAAAATATGTATTGTTAATTGAGTACAGCAACGGTAGTCAGCTCTTAAACTCCTTTAGCTCTCGTAAACGTAGTGTGATGTTGCAGATGGAAGAGCTCGCGAGGCGAGTGACCAGCGGCACCCCGAGGTTGGGTGACACGCGTCACATGGTACAGAGTGCGTCTTTTGAGTATGCATTTATCCGGTAAGTCAATGAATCCTTTTTCTATTTCTGCCGGTTTTTACCCCGTTTTTCAATGTTGTTATGTGAGGGTGCGTCCACATATAGCGAATGTGCCACGAATGAGCAGCTCGCGAACCACTCGCGAGCCTCTCGCATCGCTCGCTCGCTTGCATGGTTCGGAGGTCAATTCATACAAGGTTCGTATACACAATAATTTTAAATGCACGCGCGCAGCTCGCGAGCTCTGCAGTCACGGAGCATTTGCCAAATGTGGACGCATCCTTATATAACGGACTTATAGGATCTATCTTCAAGCATTGAATTATTACAACGTTAGTGTTAGTTTGGTAACTTCGAAGATCAGTTCAATAAATCAAACTTTGTCGGGCCCAGTCAAATTAATAAGACAAGATTCCACTATCCGTTGGTCACAGTTTGGGAAATAAAAACAGACAACTTTTGCATAAAGTTATACCTACATTATACTCCTTTTTTAACGTCCTTGGTCCTTGCAAGTATCATGAAGAAACAACTTTCATTTGTTAGCAATAGAAAAATATAGGTAACATGATTAATTATTTTAATATTGTTTTAACAAATTAGTTAAATACTTGTGTGTGTAGATTAAAAATGTTTATTTTTATTACATTACATGCCCATACATGCCATTATTGGCATTAAAAAGTATTGTTACAAAAAGTTTACGTTGCAGCATAACTTCGGCATTCACCAGGTGGTATTTCGTCATGTAGTTCTGTGTGATAACCGTCCGTATCGACGCAGTAGTACACTGATCCCACGCTCTGCAGCGGTCTGTAGTTCCCGTTCGCTTCACAAGTTTCAGTGACTGTCATTCCTCGTTCCGGGAAGAATATCATGGTGTCTCGTGCACAATCTGTTACAATCATAGAAAACTGTTCACAAAACTAAATAAGTTAACACGTTCTTTTGTAATGACTGACATGAAATCAGAATCTATTAGATCACTATGACAAATGACCCCATTTCGCAATTGTATTGTCAGAAGTATCGTATTCTCTTATGTTCAAGAAATAAATAATGAAGATTGGAATGGCAAGTTGAGAGGCTTGAATTTCAAGGTTTAGCTAATAATAAAAGTGGTTGTTCCATCGTTTCGGACTTTATGTTTATCGTCTAAGGTGTGGGTCACGGTCAATTAATTTCTCATAACTGTCGCCATTCCAATGTTCAAGAATTTGAAATACTATGTTCTATAGTAAGTTATAAAGATACTTCTATCAGTGATTCACTCAATGAGAAGCAGTGCAATTGAGTGTTTTTACAGTCGCAGTGTCATGGTCACATTGGCCAATTCACCTGCCAAAGAGCAACTTATGTATTTTGAATTAATTGGTGAAGTATGTTAGTCTCCGCATTCCAGCTGAATTGTAAGATGGGTGGAACCGTACGAAGTATCGGGAACAGGGTCACGGCCGACAACCGGTCGTAGTGGCACAATGCGAATGAGCCATACTAACGGTACGACGCCGATGCCCTCCAGCCTATCTTGTTTTATGCGCATATAGTAAACAAAATATATGCAAATCAAATCAATAAGAACTAGTGGCAACTATCTTAGAAGAATAGGAAACGGTAGATCCTTATTTTATATAAACCTCTAATTGAATATGTTCGGGCAATGTATCTATATAAATAAAAATGAATTTCCGTTGGTTAGTCTCGCTAAAACTCAAGAACGGCTGAACCGATTTGGCTAATTTTCGACTTAAAATGTTCGTGGAAGTCCAGGGAAGGTTAAAAGGTGAGAAAAATAGATTGAGGCGGTAGGAAATTTGCCGGGTCAGCTAGTTATAAAATAATTTAGTGACGCGACGCACGTGACGACTGCGTAGGTATTTGAATTGGTTTATAAGATGATAATTTAGATCCAGTTCAAGCGAAAGTGTGTCGCATTCTTTCCTTTATAACAATGAATCGACTTGAGGATGCTAGTTTAACATTGGAAAATATTATTGAGATGAAAGCGCTAACAACACCGCCCATACATTATAAATTAAAAACCGAGTAGGACTAGGATTAATACCTGACTGATATGTGAATTTGTAATGTATGCATGATTGTAACATTTGCAACAATATTGTGATATTTGAACCCGTTTCCCGTTGTCACGCCATAACTTGAGAATGGCTGGATCGATTAGGCTGTTTTTTTTTGTTGTGTTTGTTAATGTCAGGAGAAGTTCTTATGATAGAAAAAAACCTGAAAATTTTATGGGAACGGGAGAAAACGGGATTGCGCGTACGAAGTCGCGGGCAGAAACTAGTTATTTATACAAATGATAGAAACTCCAATTTTTAAGACTAATACTCACTGCAATTCATTCCCTGCATAGTAGCTACTGTTGTCTGCCAGGCTCCTAATATTTTTCCGTCTCGACCCGTGCAGTAAGCTCTGAAACATTAATTTATATACAAGTAAATCGTCGTAATGTTTTTATCTAACTACTTTTGATGATGTTGTAAATTTAAACTTAGGGTCTATTTTTATATCAACATTGAATTCTTAACTGTATAATAAAATTAACTTTTGACAGTTTTCCGTTTTTTATTCTACATTTAAGAGTTAATTGATGATGAAAAATCGGTCCATAAAGAATCAAAATGTTTTACATACATGCCATTCAAAATTTGAATTGGTCCGTAACTTCCGTCGTAATCACAAGTTGAGACAGGACTACCAAGGAAATTAGTTCCGTGTGTCGACTGTTCATACCGGATGAATCCATTGGCAGCAGTTAAACTTTCGCATTTTCTTAAATACCGTTCCCCAATAACTGCTGCACTATCTGTAATTTTAAAATGAAATAAATTAGAATGGTCTAGTACTGGTACTTTACTAGTTGACACGATGTAGTAGAATATACTAAAACATGACGATCGATGCCATTGCAAAGCAGGGTGGCTGCCCTCTAAGTAATGACGTCATTGTAGACATATGCCCGAGCCGGTCCCACCCACCTGTATTTATAAACTACGTGCATAAATATTGCACTACGCGCAAAAGTGGATTGTTTGAAACCAGGTCACTTTCTAGTTAATATTTTAAAGGAATCCATACACAAGTAGCGTAATACCCAAGGTCGCTTTAATATTAATACTTTTATTATACATACCGATGAAGATGGAATTGTGGTTTTTGACATAACTATCTACTAAAGGCTTAAACCTTTTGGGTTCTTGTTAAATCTAGTATGGTAAGGTATGTTAGAACTATGTATACTTTACTATTCTTTTCTATACAAAAATTCAAACAAATGACTTAGTTTCATGCAGCATATTTGAACAAGTGTATCTGGGTTCTTTGTCAAACTGATTGTGTACAATTGCCGTTGGTCACTCAATAATATCTTCAGACTGTGAATCACTTGTGAATATTGTGTATATCCTGTTGTTGCATCTCCTTGGCAAGCGAATGATCTACAACAGTGGCGGAATCATTTGGGTTTTACTGTCGTGTAGACCATTTTCATATCATATATCTTGTATGATAGAGAGAGTTATTTAAATCGGATGTTCAGTTATCAGTAAAGAAAACTTAACCAAGAAAATTGGCAGACAGAAAATTCATTAACTGTAACTTGACCTTTTTAAAGTCAAAATCTCAAAAGGGTAAAAAAAATGAAATTATTACATACAGCATGGAAGGCGTTCCATATCTTCTTCGTGAACAGGTGTAACGATAGGCTGTCCAGTCCTAGGCTGTACACACCAGCACATCCCACTATCACATTGCAGTTGTTCGTAATCACCATTTGCTGAACAATGAAGCGTCACGACCTTGCCTTCTGCTTCCAGTTCAGCTCTTCTACGACTGCACGCTGAAATCAGTGGATCATTTAATTATTAAACAATAAAACCTTTTTTATCTTTATAAACCTCATTGATGTATTTTAACCTCATTAATGTAACTCATAAAAAAGATCACATTCATTTTAAAATTAAAAAATAAGTATTTGATAGTTTTCATAATGTTTTGACGTTATGTACATAATATGTTATTTTAAGCATAAAATTATTGTTTATTTATGTGAAAGAATCAATGAAATTCCTCTACCTATTTAAAATTCATGTTATAAGTGAAATCAGTTATTAACTATTTGCTGTTGCCAAGTAAGATCGTGTTAATGATGAAACTTGGCACTTTGGAAATTTTAGAAAAATGCAAGATTCGGTGATTGGCGAAGCTCTTGCATGTTTTAATAACTTTATTATGTACACATTTCCGGTTCGTGACAATGTTTTTTATGGTAGCTTGTAGCATTTACCACACGTCATGTGCTCCGCTTGGTCCCTCCACATTTGTCCGAATATTCTTCTTCCGTTTGGATCTGAGCAGAAACACCTGAAAGAAAAATTTCGAAGGCACCACTACATTATACATAGTTTATATTAAAAAAATCGTTATCGTTATTTGGGTTGACAAGTTATTTATCTAAACCTACAGATAAATAAAATTGGAGTGTCTGTTTGTAATATTAAAATAACCGCTTTCTATTACATGCATATGAATATAAATACGATACACAACCAAAATAACATTTTTTTTACAAATTTTATCTGCCTGTCTGTTTGTACTTCCTAATCTCTGGAATGGCTGGACCGATTTTGCAAGACTTTTATTGGCAGGTCTCTGATCTACTATGGAGTCACATAGGCTACTTTTATTTTGGAATATTAGATATAGCTAGTTAACAATATATCTCTTTCAATTCTTCGAAAACTATTTGTCTTCGAAAGAAATATTGAATGTAAGGTAACTAGGTATATCTATATAAGAACAGTGACTGCATCTTTAACATTATTCCAACTGCATGATTAGATTTCCTGCATTTTGATCATTTATAGAAAATTTTTAAATCAATTTCCTACTTAAAATATTTTTAGGTTAATTTAAACTCTTAATTGTGATTTGATTCCTATACCTGCCAGTAAATCGATCGCCCTTGCATTGTACTGGCGCATATCGTCCATCAGGCAAGCAAGTGGAAACACTTGGATCGCAACCTTGCGTCGTTGGGGTACCACCTGAAAATGAATATTACAATGATATTTAACTAATAAAACAAATAAAAAAATCCTGGTTAAAAAACTAAAAATTCCGGTAATTATATGGGATATTGCTTAAACGTTTAGACGACTACGACAATGCTTATGGTTGCAGTTCTGCACCAAGAAACACAATTCGCTAAAATGACTTGCATAATATTTAATATTCTATTTAACGAAAGTACATAAAACGAAATTATCACGTGCTATCGTTAAAAGTCAGTTTTTAACAAAGACAAAGCAAAATGACTTCATTGTCAAGGTATTTTTTTATGATCTTCTTGCAATTTCCTTTTAAAAAGAAGTTGCTCCGGTACTCAAATAGTTACAACCTTTGATGGTTCAATAATTTTCTGTATTTCCGTTTATGAAAACTGTAAGTACCACTTTGAAGTTCAATCTTTGATTGATTCAGTTATACAGAACTTTAGCACTTATGTGTAGTCTCCAGAGCCACAATAGAGCTGCAAATGGCTGACTTGTCCCAGTAGTAAGTAGTAAATTGATAAATTACTCAGCGAATTTATTCTTACTGCAATGTAGCATTTGACCCACCGATTAACATTTCTTAAGATATTTTAGACAAGTGCCTATAATTATAGTAGTTCAATAATTTTGAAGTGAACGTAATACGTCACGTCAAAATAGGTAATTGTTAAGCAATTGGGACACATGTTAGTTAATTAATCGAAGACCAACAACCGGACATTTTCTCCAAGGTAATAAGTTCTTTCCCGGAGACTGCGGTCGGCGATCGCAATGACTAGATCGAATAACAAATAGCTTAACATCCGTCCGTCGGGTCGGCGTAAGTGAAATATGATACAATTATTATGCATACGGTTTTGTACTGTGTACTGTGAATTTGATAATTATTATAATGAATATAAAAAAATTATCATATTATTTTAATGAAGATAGCTTACCGCTGATGGTGCACGAGGGACAACACCCTTCCACGATGGAATTTGGCACCAATTCCTCGATACCACCACAGTCGCTTTTACTATAATCAGTTATGCATACTTGTGCTATTTGACATTGTGGACTCACTCGCATAATATTATAGCAAAACAGTAACACCCAAAATGAACTACTCGGAGACATATTGAAATTGACACATTCAATTAAATTATTTTCGTCGGTGATTTTATTTGTGCGCAAACAATAAATGAAGTGTACATTAATTGCTGATTGAACGGTTATCTGTGTTATCTTTTTATCACGGACATCTTATCGTATATTATTTCAGGTCATATCAAAAATGTGTGTGATTCACACTGAGATAAGCGCTACATATTTCTGTGGTATTATAATGTATATAGTATTTATTTTACAAGAAAGGGAAGGTAGTATTTGTGAATTGCTTTGCCGTTCAACTATAAGTATTTGTTTATCTTATAATATGCCCTAGACAAAGAAATTACTTACTCGCAAATAATGCACATTATCTCTCTCCGTAAAGCACGTCAGTAAACACCGAAATATTAGATTTGAGCGTTTAAATAAGAATACGCTGTTATCAGCACTATCGCTATCTCAAGTTAATTTAACGTAGAGAATAATCAAGCCAACCCGGGCTCGGCGTCGTCGGTCGTCGCGAGTCGCGCGTCCGTGCTCGTTCCGAGCGCTAACGACTTGCGCCAGTACGCATTTTGCATCGCGCCTATCTAATTCTACTTTATCGACTTCGTGTAGCCGCCTTTGATCTATTTTTCAATGGATCAACAATTGATATTGATTATTTCCTCTTACAGGTCGGATTAAAACGGGCATACCCGGCTAGTATGGAGGAGTGCAAGAAAAGACATTCCGGCACTAAAGTTTCAAAGATTGCGAATATATTTCAAGGGATGCCGTCAAAAGAGGAAGACGAAGTTCGCGGCAGCGACGTTACAGGCGTCCGGACCGAAAGTCATTTGGCAAGGTTCAACAACGCACGTGCACTTTTTGAAAAATTGGGTGAAGAAAATCGTGGATTTCGTATTGAGAAATCGCCTTCAGCGGCTGCTAGTTTTGCAGGGACCCGTGGAGTAACTCCACCAGCGCGGTCTCGCTCCAGTTCTGCGGGCTCTGTCAGTCCGCCTAGACGAATTGTGACACCAACGCCGATGCCGACACCTGCTGTTAATGGTGACCGTCTGGCAAATGGTGCAAATGCACCACCGCCAAAACCTGTGAAGCCGAGTGTTTTACCCAAACCTGAAAAGCCAGATAGAAGGTTTAACAAAGAGCTCATAGAAAAACAGAGAAATTGGACTGCACACTTTAACAAATCTCGCCAATCTCGAAATGATGAACCTAAAGTGGACTCTAATAAATACTGCAGTAGTTATCAAGACAGAAAGTCACCGGACGCTCATGAAAGATATGTAGTTCCTTCGCGTGTTTATTCTCCACCACTTTCGCCTTGCGCCGGTGATACCCAATTGGAACGTCCTACTACTCTTCCTTCTTCGTTATTAAATCGAGTCACATCTACAACAAAAACTCCGAGCCCTATAAAAATAGTTACACCGGTGTCCCCAAGAGCTAATAATTCAGTGTCACCAATACCGAGGCCCGAATCGTCAGTTTCTCCGCCAACACGAAGGGAACATGTAAAGTCACCGAGTAAAAACAAATCTGATTTGGCATCTCAACTTAATACCTCCAGTGAAAAGAGTTCTCCTAGTGTTAGATCATCGTTTTCCCCTCCAAGTGACGATGAAAGAAGTGAAAATAAGGAAAATAACGATTTTCCATTACATAAATCAAGTGAACAAACACTGTATAGTGAACAAATACAGTATATAGAACGAGTTTCCCCTACGCCACCAGTTTCGGTTCCGCGAAAACAAAAATCACCATCACCTTCGGCAAGGTCGCCAAAATCTCCAGTTTCGCCACTATACTATGAAAAAGATAGTTTACCTTCAGCTGGACGTGAATCTTCTGAGTCACCAGTGGCCTCAAATCCGATTGAAACTCCATCGTCCGATAATGTCGTGGATGTAGCTCCCACTGATGGAAATTCGCCTAGTGTTACATCTCATGATTCGCCTGTCCTGCTGTCCAACTCTGACGACAACAACACAAAAAATATTAGTGAACGTGTATCTCCAACACTTGTCAGTCAAGTAACTTTGGACAATGGCTCAAGATCATCGAAAATATTGGATGAAGATGTGTATGAGTCTGTAGATTATGGAGGAGAATGGGAAGAAAAAACCAGACGGCGTTCTTCAACGCCTGAATCTCCTACGTGTCCTGTGAAGGTTGATGATGCACCACACTCTCCACTGGTGTCACCGCTAGCGTCTCCGGTACACCGTATTGCGGAGTCCTCGCCTCCTTCTCTTCAAGCTTCACCCTCGCCTGGTATGATATTTTCCTATCTAGTATCTACTATTTTCTTAAAGACTTATTATCTTTATTTTGTTATATTTTATCTTTCCTTTTTATCGCTACTATAAGAAAATTGTTATTGACGTGTAAAGTAGGCACGTTGTACGTAGTTATTGATAACTAGCTTTTACCCGCGGCTTCGCTCGCGTCACAAAAGGGTAAAAAGGAGGCCTATGTGACATATACCAATACACACAGCGCCATCTATACCAATAATTTCGTTTTCCCTCGAGAATATTAAATTTTTCCGGGATAAAAAGTACCCTATTATTTAATCCAGACTTCTAACTTTACGTCTGCAAAAATTCAAAGCAATCGGTTTAGTAGTTACGGCGTTAAAGCGGAACAAACAAACAAACAAACAAACTCACTTTCCGATTTATAATATTAGTAAGGATACAATAATGGTTTACTGAAAATGTTTGGAAATTAGGGATTCTAAAGATATTCGGGTTATAACTTTTATCTGTATTTTTATCTGCCTTCTGGAGTATCGAAATAAATCTTGTTTTCTGGTAATATTCCTGTAATTAATATCACCTGGGGTCTCAATTTGGCGAAACAGGTTAATCCACAATTTCTCTTGTTTCTGTGAGTGAGATTGAGAATCATACGAAACAGAAAAGTAGGCGTCTATTGACGTAAGTTTGGCGGTCTCGTGTTCTGTGGGTTCAATGTAATATTGAGGAAGTCAAGGTATTTGAGTCGTTGCGAGACTTGCGAGTCGATCCCGATTTAGATGCTCCGGCGCCGCCGCCGCCTCCGTCGTCGCGACGCAGTAACCCGAGCGACGTCGCCCTGCGCGCTCCCCTTCATACGCTACACTATTATACACTTTACGGTACCCGTTTGACAATTCATTGCCGTCTTCAAACGCTTTATACCATCTATATTGAAGTATAGATCAAATCAATAACATATAAAAAAGTGTGTGCTTCTTTCAAGACCATTCCTGATTGATCAGACAAGCAAAAACTCCAATATAAAAACAGTGACTATTTGTGACTAGAATTTAAACAACAGTGTGTTTGTCGATATTTACGTAGAAACGCTTATTCAGTTCGCGTTAAACTTTACGCAGAAAGTTTGTATCGTCCTTTCAGCCTTTTATAAACTCTGTTGTTGTAAGCTCTTCGATGCCCTTTCTCGTTTTGCTTTAAATCGTTTCGGCCCAACCCAGTGTTTTCGCTTCTATGTTGAATATTACATTCAATGAGCAACGTTTCGGACCTGATGAAATATTTAATACACAATATGTGCCTTTAGTAAAAACTCAGGTTATTCTGTTCCTCAACCAATTGGCATGCTATTATTTTATTCCTTTTTATATTGACCTTCAAATTATTAACTGAGCTACCTACGCTATCATAAATTAAATTCATTTTTCTTAGAGTTGTGTAAACTTAGTATGTTGCCAACTTGGTTATCTGCGGCTGTGTTTGTTTACAAAGCGCACATTTACCGCTTTGACAACATTTTTGTCGTAATCTTTTATCATCATGGAGTTGCTTACTAGTGCACAAAGGCAACATAGCTGAAATAATCTGAAGTTCGTCATATTGTGAAAAATGAGTGTTTTTAGGGTTTCAGTTGCCTTCTGTTTTATTCATTAAAGGCAACATTTAGTTTCGAGTGTGGCTTAATAGAAGTTGGCATAAGTTTACCAAAATACGTCGTTTGGAAGTGAATGTCCACTTGAGGGTGGTCAGTGTTGGTGGAGGCACGGGACGCCGGCGGCGATGGCGCGGTGATGCGGCGGGTGTCGCGCGTGCCCGTCGCATGCGCACGCTCAACATGCGCCTCTGCGGCTGTTGCCTCGGTCAGTTGCCTTATTATTGTTTCCTTTTACTTAGAAACAAACTAACAAACAAACAAACAAACGAACAAACTTTGGGTCGCTTTTCAGACAGTTTGTTGATGCAGCTGAATTCAATTCTCGAGTTGGAAATCTCATATAGGTAGTAGTTATAGTCTACTTACATATTATTACTTTCATAAAAAAATATTATTTACGAAAATATTATTATGGATTGGGATTATCTACTATTGTCATCTTTATAAGAAAGAACACACGAGGAAACGATCTGATTGATGCCTGTTGCTTTGCTTGTTTTCATTTTCTACGAATGATTGAGATAAATGTCAGTATTCAGACTTAATTAAACGTTTTCCCTTAACGTTTGTAGGAGCTCGGATACAATCAGTAAATTCAGTATTCTATTACATATTTATATCGAGTACCACAGGCGGTAGAGACTAGGGACCTACCTAAGTACCTATAAAGTTCAAATGCTCCTGCTAACGTTGCAAAACCTAGAGTAGACGTGAAACAAGTACTCTCAACTTCCTCTTGAAGCCGACGATTTCGCAACGTGTACATTTTCACACGTGTTTCATTTACGAACTGAAATTTTAAGCATTCGTAATTTTATTATGTTTTCGGCTTACTCACGTAGTAATTTGACGAGGAACTCGACTAGTTTCAAGCCATGCTAGAGGCTCATATTCATGAGCAGCATTAGCGAAAACATAATAATTTATTTAGTATGTCTCACGAAAGTTACAATACAAATTCGTAATTTTGTTTTTTAACTTGGTTGTTTCGATGACCCGGGTATCGAAAATAGTACCTATGTATATATATTCATTAAACTTATAATCCCATGCGCATTTATAGATACAAACATCGAAATAAAGACTCAGCATAAAAATTGGTTTGATAAGAAAACTAAACATGTGTTTGTTTAATTACTTTCATCTCATCATTAGATCAGTCAGTAGTTTTGTAAAGATCGATCATTCATACTCATTATGAAAATGATTAGAATCGAATGCGACACAGCTGATGTCGCATCTACGACCCTTCAGTCCATTCCAGATCGTCTACTTAAAGTGTTTTAATTTGACATAATAACAAAGAAGACATTTAGGTAGGATAAACAAGTAACTAGACTACTAAATATCACCATAATGTGTCGCAAATATCATAATTATTTGCCGTATAAATCACACAGTACAATTTGAATTAACAACGTTCGCGTGGGCATCCACTCCACATCTTGACGCATTAGTTGAAAATGATCGGGCCTTTTTTGGAAAGTCGTCTTCGTATTTACCACATACCCACCGATTTGTGTGTACCTTAACTATACAAGGTTAACTTTTATGTGTTCCTGTTTAAAGTGGACCTAGTATCGACACCGATTCGTTACCAAATTCATGTTCTTTCCGAATGACCACGTTTTAGGATATTGATTCAAAATGATCGACATGAATATTAGGTAGGCTTATGCTTTGTTTATTCGACATTTAGGAGTTACCTACATCCAAAAGTTTAGTTTTCTGTTAAAAATAGATATTTGGATGTGTTTGTCTTAATGTTCTTCTATTTATACACTTATTTATTTTTAGCTTCCCTCTTTTGTCACCAGAATTCGTCTCCAATCTAACGGCATTTTAAGTGGTCGCATTCTTGGATATGAGAAACGAAGTACCAGTCGCATTTAACAGTCAATTTCATATAGGTCCATCTGAATATATATATGAGTATAGTGGTTTTAATTAGTAAAGTGGGCATGACTCGCTCTCGTTGTCTCGGGAGATCGCGTGATCGTTCTAACGGTTTACTGCAAATTCATGCGTTACGTAGATTACTATAAATGCTGAATGGTCAGTCAATGGTTATCATAAATTATTTTTTAAGAATATGCCTGTTTAATTATCTCAAGATCTAGAAATGAAAGTGTAGCCGCACATGCAAATTGTAAACAAATAAATTTCATGATATATGTATTTAGTGCTGAGCACGATAGATAACATTTATTATATTGGTATGAATTAATGTGAAATAACTTTCCTACTAGTTGTTATTTATTCGTCGTAAATGGTTAAAATATGATTACTTATAGAATAGAAATGGTTCTATTTTACAAGAAATCATCAAAAATGTACAATATATATTCATTCCACATATCCAAAATATTCGTTTTTCTTGTGTCTGGAATCAATGTCATTTGTGAGTCAAACAAGGGCGTTTAATAAAATCGTCGCTTTTTATAAATATCCGCATATAAACGTATGTACTTCGTATAACCGAAGTTGCGGTTTGAGTTTGCGTTGAAATAACATGTACCGATTAAATGATTGTTTATATTGGGCACCTGTATGTATACTCAGCACCTGCCCCAGCTACGGAAGTAGAGTATCTACGTTAAAAATAGTTAGCTCATTAGCCTAAATTTACTCCGTACTCGCTCCGAAGAATATACATATTTTACTGGTTTCCAATGAGGTTAGTGTTGCTGAATTAAGTTCCTGTAAGTCTTTAAACGAATCAGGAGGCAAATGATCATTTATACAAAAACGAATCATCAATCAATGAGCCATTATATTCTGTAAAATGTAGATATTTCCTATAGGTAATTTTTCTATTTTTTTATTTACTTATAGAGTCTAGTTTACATTGTTCTAAATGTTTTGTCGTCTATTCAGTATTTATGTACTTATTTTTATTAGGATTAGGATCCACATGAACGTTTTCACAAGACCGTCAACCGCTTTATTACTTTTGGTTTAAGTACTTTATACTCTTACCGAAGCTCTCCAGTCGACCTATGTAATACTAATAACTTACTTGTCCATACAGGTCATAAATGATTAAATGTACGCCTTTACTAATTTATTGAAAGGAAATGTTCTTAATGAGTAGGTATGATGTCTATAGCGGGCGGAGGTCGCAAGTCGTCCGAGGCGGAAGAAATACCGCGACGGAGTGGATCTCGGGCGTCCAGCGTGTCGGACGAGGGAGGGTTCAACGAGCCCTCGCCCGAGGTGGTGGCGCGGTTACGACCTGCAGACTACCGAGAGCCGCCTCCACCTGCACCCCCTCTCACAAGAGACATACGGGACGCAGAGCGCGCGCGATCAGATCCTGACACACTCTCCGTACTCCAGCAGGTATATTCCAAACTCTTTGAATTTCAAATTGAAACCGTACCGAAATTGTTCATTACACAATGGAAGGAATATCTCAAAACTTTTGACTACGAACTACACATTTATCTACAATAGTACATAATGCGATGAATAGACATACATCCATTCATTGGGTTGGATTGGTTAGATAGAAGACCTATTGTGAAATGTGGAGCAGTAACCAAACCTAATTCAATAGGTAGTATTTTGCCTCACGAAAATGAGATAATTTTTGAATCACTGATTCAATATTCGCTTTTATACAATATAAACTACACCTGTATCAATTCATGAATACTTCAGTTGTATGACAGAAACGGATTTTCCTTTGAGACAGGGACAATGTTATGTTTTCTTTCCAAATGTTATATGTCAGAACTTGATTAACGGGTTCCAAATCCCAATTACAGGACTCCGGCGTGGTAGTGAGTGAAGCGAGCCAAGGCTCCATAGAGGTGCTCGACAAGTCGACCACCAGCCAATGGAGCGTGTCGGAGGGCGAGAACGCGTCCGGGGAGAGCGGGCGCGGGGGAGACACGGCCGACGCTCGGTGGGACGACGCCGACGGAGACTCCAAGCAACCCGACAGCATGACCCCCGACGAGGCCGAGATACTGCTCAGCTCGAGGTGACCTTCTATTATGTACTTGAATGTTGCACTAGCCTAAGTCTGTATGATCATATCTCCAATTTACACGCTGTGGGCTAAGCCATTAGCCAGGGCTACACATTTTTTGTAAAGCACCAGGCTTTGTGATTGTACACGCAGTAAGATGGTTGTCAGACCGACATAAACAGTTCAGCACAGGGCATGGTACCATTTCATGAGACACTTCCATATGTAGTAGATATTGTAGTACATACATATCTTTCTTTCCTAACATTGTTATTTTTATTTTAGAATTGTGGCAAGAAAAGTTCACTTAAACCAAGACCTGCAAATAACTATGCCTGATCAAACACGTAACTTTGGTGATAATCAAAGAAACAGAAATACGGATGCAAAGTTAAAAAAGTATTGCATTTCATTCTAATTTAACTTACGTCCAGTTTCTATAACCTATATATCTGTAGATTTGCTTACTAGAGATAGAATTTTGACATGAGCTCCATACAAAATGTGTCAAAATTCTATCTCTAGTAAGCAAATCTACAGATAGATAGGTTATAGAAACTGGACGTTAGTAGATTAACCCGTCGAGTACCGGTTTTATAGACACAATTAAAGAACAATAGGTCGCGGTCACCGGTGACCGCTTGGTGTTTGACAGTTTAAGAGTATGTACGTTATTGTAGCTAGTTACATAATAAGGCGTCACATCGATTCTGTTTAATTACTTTATCTGAGGCACGTACGCTATGCGGAACTAAGTAACTGTTTAATATTCGTCACACCTTTCTTCCTCGATGTAGTCGTGCTATTCATCAACGTTTACTTTCTGGTTCATTTTAATTCCTATTGGAAATATGCGTGATGTATCTGAAATATCTGTCTCGAATGCATGGTTCCACGCACTTGTAATGTCTGTACCCAAATCGCGTTCTGTATTTATCATTTCTTTTATTTATGTATCTTAATTCTTAACAATGTTGTTAAATGCGCTATTCTATATTTTCTTTTTTCAGGACTTGTATGTTGTTAGCTTAGTATATTATTTAATGTCGTATTTTTATCATTTGCATGCTGCCTGTCCGCACAACGCTTCATTATTGCCTGATATTTGCAGTATTCTGGAGAAAAAACTTAGGTAAGCTCGGGGCATTTGTGCAACCGTCGTTATCTTCTAATATGTAGTATTGTAGAATGCTTAGTGAATGTGCTACTCTGTACTCTCTACCTACTTATATTCCATTTTAGTACACCTATTTCACTAGATATAAGCTAACAGACGAAAATATGTTATGATTACTTTTTATAACGTGTAGTCCTCAAGGAAAATGAATTAATTTAAAAAAAAGGCGCACCTTTGCTTCTTCTAGTACTTTGGACTAGTGAAAGTAAATCGTAAGAAAATAAATCAAGTAATATATTTTCTTCAACATTAATGTATTGTTATGTATTGCATAAACTTATTATCTAGGTACAGTAATTTAACAAGACTACATAAAAATGCAATTTCTACTTTGAGAGTTTAATTTAACGCTTAAAGACATCGGGAAATCGTGTGTTTCTGGTGAAAGCGCTATATGTAGAACACAGTATGAAGCATAATATACATGAACAACAGTTCACCAGATTTAAAATAAATAATATAGTCATTTATTCAACCAAAACTCAGTAAAATGAAGTCTTTATTTATTTTGATCACTCTCCTTCTAGTTTTTAGTCAGTAATGAGACTGAACCAGTTTGTACTGTATAGTCAATAGTTATACATAACTGATAGTCAATGTGGAGCGGCTACTGTCAGCCATCCACAGGTCGCTAGGATTGATATCACAATTTAATTTAGTTTTGCAATTTGTACATTGTCATTTCGTTACCTTACTTACCTAGTGAGTGAAGCTATATTATGTAGTGGTGTAAGTACTAAGTGGCTAGGTAACAACGTGTGTGTGTTGTGTAGACAAGAAGCCTTGCTGTCGGACGAGCAGGCGCAGGAGATCGTCGCCATGTTGTCGCCGCACGCGCTGCCGCACGACAACGGCGTCTCCCTCAACGACAGCTACCAGTCTGTGCTCTCGTACGAGAGGTAATTTTATTCATTTTCTACCCATATTCTATGTATTTTAAGGTATATGTTTACTATTTTATAACTATAGCAGCTTAAATGACCCGATATAGCTGAATTGATGACAGAAAAATGGTACAAAATAGTATCTCTGCAATGTGTTCAGCTTAAAACGAATAATGGTCCCTACAGTCGCGCCAGAACATTGTGTACTAATCTCATTAGAGAAATTCTCAGAAAAAGGCCAGTAATTATAACCGGGGTTATTGTATGTATGATGTAAATAGACACATAGAATGCAAGGGAGGGGTAACGTACGTATTAAAATAAGAGAATAGTTTGATTGAATATGACATAATGTAAATAAATTGCAGCATGCAGTCAGTGGACGAGAGCTACGAGTTTGTGTCATTGGAGGCGGACTCGGGGCTGGCGGGCGGCGACCGGCGCGCGGCGGCCGAGCCGGCCGACGGCGGCGACGCCGCGCCCGCCACTGTCTTCGACCACTACCCGCCGCACCAACTGCGCGAGCTCGGGGAGGAGAACGGCATACACTACTTCGAAGATGGACACTTCTATACCGAGGTACGGTGTTAACTAAACTTTTTACTACGGGAGAAACTTCCACTAGAACGGCCCTGGTGGCCATTATTCTCTTTATGAACCACCGTGTCATCTTATACACACACGAAGGTTCCAGAGCCTATTCGATTGTGTCCAAGTTTCTAGTCAAAATTGTTTTCAGAAATAATAATTTTCTAAGTTTTTATTCTAAAATGACTGTTTTTGTGTGACATTCAGTCTATACATTTATTTCTGTAGAAATACCTATCTATAGCTTTCACTTCAAACATTATCTACTACTACGTTTTCTGACCTAGAACATTGATTACGTACTAAACAACTAGTTTTATTATCATGCATTAACTAAATCGCTAAATATTGTCATCTTACTCATTCCGATAATATTTCAGGTTGCCGGACTTCCGCCTATTGAGGAAGATGAAGACGAAGATTATTACCCACCAGTATTTGTCAAGAAAAATACCAAAGTTAAATTCAGGTATGTGCTTCATTAAGTCAAAAATATATTAAAAAGTTACCTCAATATTTTAATACTTACAAATATATTAGATAAAGTTACCAAGTTTAATCATTTAAATAAATCTTTAATATCTCATTCTAAAGGTCTATAGTACGAAAGTTATCTAAAAAAATAATACTTTTTAAATTTCAGTACGAATCCAATGCGCGTTTTTTCGACGCACTCGGTGCGCGAGTACGACAGACGCAACGAGGACGTTGACCCCGTGGCCGCCAGCGCGGAGTACGAGCTGGAGAAACGGGTCGAGAAGATGCACGTCTTCCCTGTAGACCTCGTCAAGGGGGCGGATGGACTTGGGCTCTCCATTATCGGTAAGCTTCAGTTCAAAGTCAAAGGATTTACTTCATAATCCGCATATTTTAACAATTTTGAGAAGTTATTGAAGTTAATGAGCTTGTTCCAAAATATAGATTCGTATAGAGAATAACAAGTAACAAACTCCAGCATTACTAATTAAATAATGTTTTCTTAAACGTTATGCTGGCCTTTCTACTGTAAATATGATGGACTGTATTTTATGAATTCAAATCACCATCATACTTTTACAGGTATGGGTGTTGGTGCGGACGCTGGGTTGGAGAAGTTAGGAATATTCGTTAAGACTATAACCGAAAGTGGCGCCGCCGCACGAGACGGACGCATACAAGTCAACGACCAAATTATTGAAGTCGATGGCAAGAGCTTGGTGAGTACATTACTATACATCGTAATAGCAATATTTAAATATTTAAAGAATATTACATTGAAAAGATAGAAGTCTATCCCCATACATAAGCTGCATGTTAGAAAAATTTCGAGTTATACATCTCGCATGTGGAATTCAAATGCTAAAATGATGCCTTACTTTTATTTCTAGGTGGGTGTGACACAAGCATATGCCGCGTCTGTACTGAGAAACACGTCAGGGCCTGTGAAGTTCCTCATTGGACGTGAGAAGGACCCTGAAAACAGTGAAGTAGCACATCTCATTAGACAATCACTTGCAGCAGACAAGGAGAGGGAGGAAAGGTATATTATTTTTGAGTTATAATAGTATCTATTAGTATGTTATTACCGACTGAAGACTAAAACCTCAGTACTATAATATTGTTACCACTAGAAACACAAGCATTCGTCACTAGTCTTAAGTACTAAGACTTTTCTATAATATTAAAAACTTGTTTAGAGCCAACCGCGAACGTCAGCGTCGCCAGCAGGCCGAGGAAGAGGACTCCAACCAGGCAGTGCCTGTAGAGACGTCCGCGGCACAAACTAGACACCCAGAAATTAATGAACTCAGGGCTTTCTTACAAGAGGTTTGTAACGATGTCTTCATTATTGTTATTATTTTTACTGTTGTTCATAAATACAAAGATAATAAAGAAGTTTGAATATTTTTAACTATTTAAACTTTGCGGTGCAGTTGGTGGGCATGGAGTCTGGCGGCGGTAGTCCGGAGGAGATTAGCGCGCGGTTACGGGACTGGTGTCAGGCGCGGGCGCCAGACGACCATCTACGCCGCGCGCTCTCTACTGCCGCCGACAACGCGCACCGGGCTCAGCGCAAATACGATAAGGTACTCAATATATGCTATCATTGTATTGCTAATTGTAATGTGAATATTGATGCTTGGTCTTTACAAGAGAGGTCAAAGTAACTCAACGGTGCTATTCTGGGTGTTTTTTTTAAAAGCGACTGCCATAGCCAAGCGGTAAGCTAAAGTGGTAGTAAGTGCCAGGCGTAAATGAGTATGTAGTGTTGCACATGGGATAAGTTTTTAACCTATTTTACTGCGCTGAGGAACTAGGCTAGCAGTGTGGAGAATTGTATTTGTCTAAGTAAGTATTTATAATTAAGTAGTTATTATTATTTGCTTAGTCACCTGCCACTCTGCACCGCCTTAAGGTTGACTGTAAGACAATGCCCAAAGCATTAACTCCACCTGTATGTACATGTGTTTTTGTACTAAGTCTAAATAAATTGAAAAAAAATGAGGAAGAAAAATGATCCAATGACTTCTCTCGTCTTCGGTGAGGCGTGAGGGAATTCTAGCTTTTAGCCGGACCTCGGTAGCCCGCAAGGTCGTCCGCAGCCCCGGAGTGTGAAGGAGGTTTTCTGTCGTGCGAAATAAATGTTTGTGTGTGTGCAGGCCCGGCGCGCCCTGCGCGAGTGGCGGCGCACGCGCGCGCTGGTGCGGGCGCGCGAGGAGTGGTGGAGCGGCGCGCTGCGGGACGCGCACCGCGAGTACGGCGCCGCGCTCTCCGCGCTGCACGACCGCGTCGCGCGCCTCGAGGTGCTGCTGCTGGTCGGTACACCGCCGCGCACTACTGACATTCTTGTACAGAATAGGGGGCAACCGATGGGAAGATATCAGCGCCGCCCATGGCCGCCCGCAACAATAGAGAAATTACAAACGCGTTTTAAAAAATATCTCGATCTCTTATCGATTACACTACAACACGGTATTTTAGTCTAGATGAAAAAATAAATAAAAGTATATTACAATGATTGTTTAGAGGCAACTGAATTAATACTGACGTAATGACGTCATGACTACAAAACAATCATGGCGTCCGTTGTTTGTCGCGTTTTCTCGAAATACCCGCGAAATTTTAAATTATTATAAAATCATTAATTTATATTCGTACATAACGCGAGAATTTTTTCTTTAATTTTTAGTCGTATATTAGGGCTATAGAATTTATTTTAGATATATTTCAAAAATGCATGTAATGTAACCTATTGCAACCTCATTTAATTTCACCTTTTCCCTCCCTTTTTAGAAAAAGAAACTAAGGCAACTATGCGCATTACTTCTGTTTTTTTTACATACATATTATGTATTTATTTACAGGAGACTCAGAAAAAAGCTGGTCTCCCGGTGATGTTGCCGCACGAACCCTCGGCTCGTCGCGAAACACCGCCCCTGCCTCGCCGACCTGATCCAGATCCGCTTTTGATCAACAGTAAGTTCATCAAAAAATATTTTATTCACATGAATAAAAACAATGTTACTTTGACTTGTTTGTGAATTCCTTACTTAGACTTTGTGTTACATGCTTGTTGCAGATCCATGGAGTTCTGACAGTGATCTCTCCGATCTATCGCCTGTCGAGGACGAATACGCTAAAGTGGACAAGTCGAGGCGATGTGAAGCGCCCGACATAGGAGACGTTACTGAGTCTGCTGTGGAAGAGGCTAAACTAGTAACAACCTCGCCTCACGTGACGCAAGCTCCGCCTCACGTGATACAAGCCCCGCCCCACGTGTCGCAGGCCCCGCCCCACGTGACGCAAGCTCCTGCTCCGTCAGCCGTCACTACGTCGCATGCTGTTTATGCAACTGTCGGACCTCACACCACGCATTCTTCGGCAACACCGACTAATCATCAAGATACTCAGTAAGCACTCGTTATGACTCTGAGTAATAGTAATTGTCTTTAGTGTAATTTCTAACATATGCGCATAACTGTAAAATTATTCTTTTAGTTTATGAAGTTTAGACAATCTTTTCACAGAGTGTTTCATAAATGAATGACTATAATAAGCACTTGTGTTCAGGTCGACATCGTCAGTGTTGGGCGGGGGTTCAGTGAGCAGTGTGGGTGTTTCGAGTGGGCAGGTGGGGCTGAGTCAGTCGTCGCTGGGTGCGTCCCGCGAACTGGACGCCGCCGTGCCGCGCGGCGCGCTACTCGACAACTCGGCGCACCGTGCGCGCACCGACCTCGCGCGACATCGCCACGCCGCGCACTCGCCGCATTCTCCACACTCGCTCAGTAACGCCAGCTCGGTCAGTTCCTCTCTATTTATCTATCTATTAGAGGTATATATCCTTCTTGGCAAAAACAAGCCAAATACCTACCAGTTGGAAAAATAGAGTATACTGAATTGAAATCTGTATTAGGTTGTTGCTTCCTTTTGTCCGACTGAGGACTTGTTATATTTTTCTTTTTGTGAAATACGACCCCCTAAAAATAGAAATACAATAAAGTTATCAACTCTAAAAAAGCGAATGAAACGTACAAACCATAACACATTTTACTGATATTTTATTTATGTTGTCATCAATACAGTACGATGGGCTCGACGACTCGTATAACGACTCCGCGGACGAGTCGCTTAGCGAGTCTACATCAGGTGGACCGCCTCACATTGGCCAGGTAAGTTCAAATTACATTGTACTTCCAACTTAGTTAAGCTTTTGTTTTCTGTAACATTGTAACATTTGATTGAATAAAAAGTTGATTCAGCAGCATCGCGACACCCGTCAGAGTTGTGGCAGTTCCGTGGGTAGCGCGACTGATGATGCCGTGTACTCCAGAGACCACAGGCATCATCCTCTCACTGGTAAGAACTTTGAAATTACCTGCTTTCTAACCATTGTATTGTCTCGCGTTGACTGTCGAACGTACGTTGCAACAAGAGGAGCACACAACATACATTGGGTTATTGGTGAAGTTCCGCCTAATGCTGTCAGTATTTATGTTTTAACCATGACAAGTTGTTAACAAGCTGCGCAGTTATCGAGACTGTCTGTGTCTGTGAGTGAATAACCTCGTGGCTGACGTGTCCGGAGCTTGCTGGAGTGGAGTGTGGTGTGTGGTAGGTGCGAGTGCGTCGCTGGCCGAGCAGCTGAAGCAGGTGCTGGCGGAGCGCGAGCGGCGCCTGGCGGGCGGGGCGGGGCCGGGGCCGGGGGCGGGGCTGGGGGCGGGATCGCCGCTGTCGCAGGCGTCGCCGCCCGTGCCGGACGCCGTGCAGCTGACCAATGAGCTGGTGGACGAGATCCGCCAGGCCGTCAGCGAGGCCAACGCCCGAGGTTTGTACTGCTAACCGCACCACTCGCTGATACCATCTCACTCTCCTCGTTGCTTCTCTTCTATTTCGTCTCATTTTTCTCTGTTCTTTATGTTTAGTTTGGCAATCGTGTACCGCTTTTTTACTGTTTATGAGAAATAAAAATGATACGAGAAATAAAACATCATTTTATTTATAAAATATAAGGACATGTAGTTTCTGTAAAAGAATCTTACAACCCCATGACTTGTAGTCGCGCTAGGCTTGAACCTACATGTATCTGAATGATAAAGAACAGATGGTGGTGGTGGCAGAACGCGTGTTTACAGAATAAACAAGATACTATCTCCGAAGAATTGATTTTTATGGTTTAACTGTTGTTTTACATTTAGTTTTCTGTTTCTGTCTTACATATTGTCTTGGTGTTGTTTCGCATTCTTTGAATACGTGTTGTGGTGGTGGTGTTACAGTTAAGCTTTTGTTGTATTACTTGGCCTTATCAAGTTCTTATTTTTGTGAGTTTGTCAATTTTACGATATTTGAAAAGTAGGCTTAATGTAGATATAATTAGTAGATGTATTTCAGTAGGCAATAATCATTTGGAAGTTGTAAAAAATAGACTAATAGAAGTGTGAACAATGCAGCAATGGTGGTCATGCTCTCCAAACAGGTTTTATGAATGACCAATTTCTCTTAATAAGACTGGTGAACAAAATAACAGCCAGAATTCAGACGCAAATTAATACAGAGAGCAATAAAGGCGATAGCGCCTAGTCGGTGTTTTATCTTATTATTTTTGTCGCTCGGCATCCATAGGCATACTTTGTCTTCTGGGTGGATAATCCAGAGCAAATATATGGAACAAAGCTATAATTTCTAAATTTCTATAATTAAATCATTAATAAATGTCCGATCTTTAATCGTGGCATGACTGAGAACGTGTCCACCATTGTTGCATCTCCTAAGAAGGAGGTAGGAATGTGTGTACGCGAGTTGACGTTGGGTTATGGTTATAGTAAAGAAAGCTCCGGCGTGTGTAGTCGGCGGCGAGGTGCCGTGGCAACCGCTGTCCAGCGCCGTGTCCGAGGCCAGCCTCACGCCGCCGCCGCAGGCACAGGCGCATCCCGTCAACCACTGGACCAAGCAACAGGTATGCACTAATACACACTTAAGTCATTTACAAACACAAACCACATTCATCATCATTAACAGCCCGTGAAAGTCTATCCTTGGACAAACACATCTTCAAGAAAAGGATTTGCATTGAGAAAACCACATTATAATTTAAAAATAATTGACATAAGAAGTGCAAACTATCTACCTCTTCACTGATGTTTTGGGTTTCATTTCGTAGCGGGATGTAAGACTGTTGTTGATGGACGCATCGAGGTACATTGTTATTTTTTTTTTTTTTTTTCTTACACTTTCTATTGGTCCCCAAATATAGGATTAACAGCAATTAAAGTTAATTTGTGACTTGTCCATAAAAAAGATATCTCTGACTTAATAATGGAAAAAAATCAGTTTGGAGCTGTTAGTACATCGTGTGTTTCCTGCAGGTGTGGCAGTGGGTGTCGGGGCTGGGCGAGGGGTTGGAGCGTCACGCGGGGGCCTTCGCGGCGCGCGGAGTGGACGGGGCGCTGCTACTGGCGCTCAGCTCCGCCGACCTGAAGCTGCTGGGGCTGGGCGGGGACGACCGCCGCCGTATGAAACGACGCCTCAAGGACCTACGCTCCGCGCATGAGAAGCACCTCAAGGCCCTCAAGAAGGCCGAGAAGAAAGCCAAGAAGAAGTAAATCTATCACACGGCTCTGACATGCCATCACCAAAGAATGAGTCAGTTCACATGAACTTCTACTACCTTTTTAGTGTTGTGCGAAACAATTCGTATATATTACGCGTCATTTAATATGACGGAGATAAGAAATGTTTGCACATTCAAATTATACATTTTACGTGACCGTATCTATTTTGAATATTTTACGCTTCATGTGAACTGCCTCCTGTGTTTTCAACTATGTTTATTTTTCTGTGGCAATTATTTATGGCAACTATAAGAATGAAATATAATATCTATAAAATGTTGACCTAATTTTTGTATAAATTATCTAGAATTTCCGACTCGTGTTCAACTTTCCTTTCTTGCCTTTTCTTTGTGTTTGAAAGTTCGAAAGCGTGTAGTTACATTCTAAGATATTATTAACAAGTAGGTATTGATATGAGAGATGTTCATGTGACTGAAGCTCGCGATGGTATTGGTGGTGGGTATAAAGCTGTGTCTGATAGCATACAGAGTGCCATCTGACCCATAGCTTAGAGACTAGTGACGTTAGTGCTGCTTCAAACGAAGAAACGAATATTATTAATCGAAAATTAGACCTAAGTGAATGTGGGACAGGACAAGTAGAACTCATTTATCTAGACTGTCTATTGTAATCTATTTCCATACTATATTCGACAGACATTTTGTTGGTTTCTTCATCGTTCCTACATTTTGTATTAATTGTGTCAGTTTTTTCTGGAAGTTCGAGATCATGCTGTGGACTGTAGGAAAAAAAATACTGGCTCAATCTAGTCAATAAGATGAATTAGATGTTCTAAAGTCATGAATTATAACAATTTTTTCTTAGAAATTTTCAAGTATTTAAGATTAGGAAATAACTTTCTCGTATGTAATTATCACCAATTATAATAATGAGATTGTAATGCAGTAATTTATTTACGTTCGTGGCCAATGCAATGCAAACTGATTTTGATAATCCTTGGCATTTATTTATATTTATGAATTATATTGCACAAAATGTACTTAGTGATACGGTGACTGATTATATTCTATTACGTCGCCAGCGTTTAGTATATTTTAAATTGTATAGTGAAGTAACATTCATGAAACATATTGTGATCTCATGTCATGTAAGAGTACCAGATTATCTTCCCAGCCCATGTCATAGTATTTATTCGAAACAGTTACTATCTTGTGAACTCTTATGAAATGCAATCTTCACGATTTATAATACATTCCAGTAAATTACTATTTCTACCTATATTCATAGTTGTTTCTGTGTGAAGTTTTGATCGTTTAGATGAGCTTTATAGTTTTTCTTAGGCGACATACTTTTTGGTTTATCTAATCTAACAAGTAAGCGTTACTGTCTGTGTATTCATGTGCGTCATTTGGTTCCATACCCCATCATGTAATCATGTAAATATAGTTTCGAGTAGATAATGTGGAGACCACCAGAGTGAGCTTGAAATCATACTGTGTGACTGGATGTACGTTACGCATTTAGAATATTTATTTCATTTAAGATTTAATAATAAGTAGAGTCCATTGCCAAAATTGATCAGTACTTTTGTTTAATGTTGTTGTTTTTTTAATTTACAGTTTCTTTAATTATTTTAATATAATATTTATTTCGGGACCAAATTAATTTATTATGAACTTAATTATGTATTTGGGTGTGTGTTGAAGAGAAGATTTTTTTATTTATAATTTAATAAACAAACCAAAGTCTACATCACATTGTTTTTTACTGTGTTCTTGTGTATCATGTACATTTTGTGAGAAGACAATGAAAATATAATCCTGCAATGTAGATGTGAGTTTTCTTGCTGCTATTATTAATGCATGAAATCTTATCTATAGGAAATATATTATTGAACATATTGTAATGATAAAAAATAAAATCCAAATGGTCAACATCAAGTATTAAATTTAATCAGCGGGTTTAACAGCTTTTTTAGACTTTTTGTTGCGTTTTCTTTTCTTGAATTTCTTTGCTGGTGGTGGTTTAACTTCTGTATCTTCATCATTGTCGCCTTTGTCATCATCACCATAGCTAATGGTGACAAATGCCCCAGGTTTTCTCTTAGAGGGTGGAGGACTGACTTCCTCAGCTTCGTCAGAATCATCATTTTCCTCACTGGCTACTTTCTCTTCTGTTTCTTCTTCATCAGACTTGTCTTCCTTTTTGATAAGATGGCTTTGCCTATTTAGTGTGACACAAGTTACCCTACAGGAAGCATTGCAGGAACAGAGTTCATCTAACTTAGAATCATCAACAGACCAGACCTTCAGTTCTCCTGAACTAGAAGCTGAATATAACATTTCATTTTCATAATGCAGTGACTTTACTCTCTGTTTGTGTGCCTTATAAGTAAGAGCTTGTGTATCAGACACAGTCAGAGTAATTACATTGCCATTTTCTAATCCAACATATATCCTCTCATCAGTCAACCACTGCACAGATGTTGGTTTTGAGGTACAAGTTATTCGCTTTTCAACACCAGCTTTACTAATTGTCCATACATCAACAGACTGTTGAGAAACTAATGAAAACCTATCTCCTCCAGGAGAGAACTTGATTTCTGTGGGTAATAATACACCTTTACTAGCGAGGTTGATTGTAAAGGCTGGACGACCTTTGATCAAATTCCATGTTCTGAGAGTTTTGTCACCACCTACACTGAGTGCAAGCTTGTCTGATGGATGTACAGCAATAGCTGTGACTGGCTGACCTGAAATAATTTAAAAGTGAGTAAGTAAATAATTAATTATAAAGACATGGTTATTAGTTTCAGCTGACTTTGAAATGAACTTTATTGCATACCTCCATGTGCTTTCTTCCATATTTTTTCTATTTGCCAGTTGCCTGTTCTGGTAACAATGATTGAACCGTCATCACTACCAGTTAGTAGATGTGTACCGCCGTTGGTGAAAGCGACGGTATTTATCGTTCCATCGTGGTTCATAAGGACTGTGTGCTCTTTACGAGTTTTCATGTCGATGACCACCACTTTATCATCGGTGCCACCCGATGCAAGGAATTTACCTCCTATAGACATACATCTGACTGATGCTGTATGTGAATGAGTAGCAAACGTTTGTTTCAATTTCATTACCTATAATATAAAAGTACAGAATTAAGATTTAACAGTTATTTCCCGAAAATTACACCATGTTATGTATATACCAGCAATGAACTTACCGCATCTTCAGTGCGTATAGAATATCCTAGTACAAAGCCTTCGTACGTGCCTACAATTAACTCGTCCATTATAAACGGAATTTTTACTTATTATCTTCACTAAAGCATAAAGCAATCGTTATTTTGCAACGATCTAACCTCACAAGCATGCACGTTTTATTTTGATTCAAAATGTCATTTGTGTCAATATCACTGTCAAAAATTATAAGTATAGAGAAAGAGTGATGTGACAAACTGAACGTACCATAAACCGATAGTACCAATCGTTTCTTTCTCTTTTAATATTTACAATAATTTAACGTAAGCGGAGAGGAAATACATAAACTAAATGGTAATTTTGGATAAAAATTGAAATGAAATCTAAATTACGACCTTTCCAGTTTCAATGAAAATAATAATACTAAATGCCAAATAGTAATAGGATCACGCTAGTAACACAATACATCACTAGTTCGTTTTTATTCCTCAAAAAAATTGACAGCGTCAAGAGAAGAACGAAAACCTCACTATTTCTATTTTTTGTGTAAGATATCGAATGGATAAATCTGTAATTAAGATTTAATTACTCAAATTCTTATTAATTCTTTAGCACGAACATATTATCATTCTGGTTAGTATGCGTGTACACGGTTTATGAGTCGAGATTTAGTGACCGTCTGGCTATCGCTATCGATCTCCGTGGTTGGCATTATTTGCTAAATTGTTTGTTTGTTATCTCGAAGGATTCCCAAAAGAGGACATATTTAGACATCTACAAGATGGATTTGGCGGAGACGATGAAGAGTGTACTTGCGAAAAGCACTGGGACGTCGAGTGGCGCGGCGAGTACGTCGAGTTCGGCAACACCGCACGGAGCCGAGGGCTATGTCACTGAGAAACTGTACATGTTGCTGCAGCTCTACCTACAGAACAAGGGCTGGAGTCCCAGTATAGAACTGCTGCAATGTTTCAGTGACCTCAAAGAGTCATCCATGCTTCCCAGTGCTGCATATTTGCAGTAAGTATTTTTTTTTATAAATTTACTAGTTTCTTATAGGATTCTAATAATAAAAACCTGATAGTCACTACAATCAGTAAGTGTATTACTTCAAACTAATATAAATGTGTTCAGAAACTACATTTTACTTATAGAATGAACACTGACCATAGCATGATCTTTTATGAAGTGATTAAATTACAATTCTAATAAAATTATAACTACTTATGTATGTTTGGCTTATATAAGTTACTATTTACCATCACAATGTATAATTTCAGAATGATGGCATCCAGAGTAGGTTTAGATACACAAGGAAGACTGATTCTGCGCGAGAATGGAAAGATAATATTGCCATATGAACATTTTGCTAACGCTGTCATGTTGAAGCATATGAATGGACCTCATGGGCTCCATCTAGGATTAGAAGCAACAGTTAGAGCTGTAAGTTTCTTTATGTTATTATTGTTATGTCTTTTTAGAGATCCCAGTTTTTTTAATTTTTTTATTAAACTTAATCAATGGGTGATGCAACTTTTTGTGGGTCTTATCTGTAGAAAAATATGCCTTTCAACCACACATTTTATTTCTCCATATTGGCATATGTTAAGTTTTCTAATTGTCTAAGTCCAGACAGTCTTTGGCATCACTAGCCTGCACATTTATTAGAGACAGTGTTAACAAAATTAATCATGATTTCAGGTTGTAGAATCGTACACAATAGGCAGAGAGCAGTTTGGAATGGAGAAGGAATTCATAATAGAAGTAGTACAGAACTGCCCCAACCCTGCTTGTCGGTATTACAAGAACCAGCTGGAGATGACGCAGAAGTCTATACAGCAGCATCTGTCTCAGCAACCCACATATATTCCAGGTATATAGTACTTATATTTATACTTTATTGTACATGATACAGTAGTTATAGGAAAGCAATCTTATTCATACTTGGTGGTGACTTTTTTAACACTTTTTCTTTTAAGTTTGTTTATTTTCACTAATTCTTGTAAGGTGGTGGATCTTCGGGTAAAACCTATTTGGTTGCATATGTTATTATAAATATTGCATTTATGGTAGCCTGGTAGATATATAATGTGTTTTCAATATTTCATTTAAAATAATGTTCCAATGATCATGATAGAATTAGTTATTTTATCATGATTAATCTTGATATTTTACAAAATTGGTTTTATAAATTACAATATTAAAGTTATTATAATAGACTATTAAACTGTCAAACACCAAGCGGTCACCGGTGACCGCGACCTGTTGTTCTTTATAATTGTGTCTATAAAACCGGTACTCGACTAGTTAAATAGATAATAATATATCATTATGCTTAAAACTGCCTCGATGGCCGAGTGGTCGCAAGTGCGACTGCCAGGCAAGGGGTCTCGGGTTCGATTCCCGGGTCGGGCAAAATTTTACTGGGTTTTTAAAAAAAATCTCAGTAGTAGCACGGAGTCTAGAAATGTGCCCGGTATATGGCAATAGGCTCACCCCCTATTACATGGGACTCATAACATAAATAGTGAAAAGTGGGTGTTACTTCTGTGTGCACCTCTGCCTACCCTTCGGGGATAAAAAGCGTGATGTTATATGTAATCTAAAATAGTTACAACAACCTACTGTTCATTTTCAAGCAACATGAATAAACGGAAACATTTGTATTGAAATAGAAGACACCATGGTGATATTTAATTGATATCAACTAGGCCAGGGTAACAAGACTACAGTATGCAAATGTATAAATCATTGCACTAACACAGTTTTAATAGGAATCAATTAGAATGTGAATGCACACATTGATTTTCACTTTCCGGAGACTGGCTTGTTCAAACAAACAAACAAACTATTCAGCTTTATATAATAGTAATATAGTATAAGATTATTAGTACATATTTTATTATTACAAGCTATAAAATAATATGTACCATAAGATAAGGTATTGAAACTCTGTTACTGAGAATATCATTAATTAAAAAATGTTATCGCAACACCACTTTAATAACCAATTATAAAGTCAGACTGTTTTCTTTGATTACAAAATGCATGCTTGTATTGGTGGTTGATGTATTTGTAATAAAGAGAAAATAATTCGTAAATTTCACAACAACTGAGAGCTAGGCTGGCATCTTTATTTATTTTAAGATTAATAAATTATTCTGAATTCAATATGATGATGCATTATCATTTGTGTCAGATGCGGGAGCCACAAACCTGCCTGACAGCCAGGCGGTGGAGCGTCTGTTACGCAGCACGGCTTTGGCACAAGACTACCAGCTCCCTCTAGCACCACATCTCGCCGCTCTCAGTGAGTTGTTATGTAAAAATCACTTTTCTTTACCCTTTTTTGTTACATTAATTATTTATTTATTGAATGAATTGACTTCAGATTTTCCTTATGTTTTGGTTCTTACGTTTTCTTTCCTTCAGTTATATTTAAGCATTGTTAATTACGAGAGAATATGTTTGCTAAAATGTTAATATGGTTTTGATTCCAGCTAGCCTAACAGGCGAAAAGTCTGATCGTCGCAGTCAGGACAAGTTGTCGCAACACCAGCAGATGTTGCTGCAGCATCAGAACAGGTCGCTGGGCCATCAGTCCTCCATCGACAAGTACTTGCACTCACAACAACGCTCCTCCAGCTCCTCACAAGCCAGTCTCGAGACCAAGTCTAAGCATCACTACTCAGATGAACATAAGCTCACCGATTTTCTAAGGTAATTTAAAATGTTGTAAAAATAATTATGTCGAAACGAACCCAAGTTTTAGTATATTCATGTAACGAAGTACTGTATGATTGTTTACAAATGTTTTTTTATTATTTCTCAGGGCAAATTTGGAGAGTCTGGAGTCTCTGTCTGGTGGGTCTGGGTCTGGTTCGCATGCAGAGCGCGGGGGCGCAGGGTCGGGGGCGAGCGGGGGCGGGGGCGCGGGTGGGCAGGAGCGCGTGGTGCGCGCCTTCGCAGAGCTGGCGCGCAACCTGCAGCGCATGCGGCCCTGCGTGCGCCCCGCCATGTGCAAGCCCTACGGCAAGCAGAGCGAGCAGCTGCAGAAGAGTGAGTAAAGCATTCCATAAATGACATACAAACATTGTAACATTTGATAACTAGATTTTACTAGACTAGACATTAGACTAATGACTATTTTAGGGATTGAAAATGAATTAAATAATTTATTTAAAATATTAAACTGTCAAACACCAAGCGGTCACCGGTGACCGCGACCTATTGTTCTTTAATTGTGTCTATAAAACCGGTACTCGACGAGTTAATAGCAAAAATGTTACTTTACATTTCCAGTTTTGTTGGACACTATCCAGTTGGTTCAGTCGCTGCGCAGTTACTTGCCGCCACCACATATCCAGGTCACCTCGTGGAAGAACGACGATAAGCTGCGGTAAGTTCAGTTGCACTGACAATTGAGCACCTGAATACGCCACTTGGGGTATCAAATCATCATCAGTGGTACTAAAATCTTCTATCCAATAGATAGACTATCTGATGACATCACACCTGCAGTAATTGAACGAATGAGATCTTATGCAACTTTGGCACCATCTACCTAGCGCCAAAACTTCAAACAAAATAAGACTTTACCCAGCCAGTAGGCAGTTTTGACATATATTTGTCACCAATAGTAGCAAAACTCAATCAATGTTTGGTTTCTAATTAATTATGGTTATAAAGAATATTGGAAAAATAGGAGTTTGGTATCCCTTGTGATTTGGAAATAATATTTTAAATAACATCGTAGGTTTTTAATAGAATAATATTGTACATTCAGCTCCAACAACATGGAGGAGATGGAGAGCCGTAAGATAGTGAGCGGTAACTAGCCGCCGGCGGACAGCGACGCCGAGGGCTGAGTCCGCCCGCCGCGCGACCTCAACACGGTTTGACACAAGCCACGGCTACTATGTGGTACTGAGTAAATGTCCTCCGTTGCAAACACATGTTGAAATTTATCATGCAGTACCCGTTATAGACGCATAATTAAAATAAAAAAGTAAATAATTATGGGGAGGGGGTTAGTAGCACTAATGGGGCTAATTATACTTATTCTTTTTATTGGCATCGTCTTGTTACGAGACGTAGATTGTATTTTCAAAGTATAATTTCAGAGCATCAATAACTTACAGAGATATGTGACAAATCTAATATTCCCGTGTGTTTGCACTTTGGACAAGTACTCAGGCCACATAATGTTATATAAGTTCGTATTTAATCAAGATCTGCATATATTCGTAAAGGTAATTCTCGATAAAACTTGTCATTAGTTAGTGAGTAAGATTGAAATAGTTTATCCATTTAGTTTGGAATGTTGTACCTTGAGAGTGAAACCGTGTTGGCCACTGAGCTGTCGAGCGTCGGTATTGTATTAGATGTGCCGTGGACGACACGACACTCTGCCCGTCTACGCTTACGCTGACTTACTTGACTATGGAGTGTGTGTACATTGTATAACGTCACCACTTTATCTTTAGCACAAAATTGTTTATATATTTAGGACTACCATGTGTTAGCCGTGTTTATTGCTTTATTTGTTGTTTATTTTTTCAGAATTTTCTTCTTATATTTTCAAATATTGTAATTTCATATTATCTGTTGTACAAGTTCATACAATAATGTATGGTATTGCTTTCGTTGTTACTGAACGTATTTAAATGGTTAAGGTATTTTTTTCAAGATTCGTCCTAGTTATTTTAAGTTTAATCTCAGTTATTATCGTAAGTGCATTATTTACACTGTGATAGAAGTGTAATAGGAATAGATCTGAGCGAAGTCTTGACATGAATGTTACTTAGGAAGGTACGTAGTAGTGAGCGCGTACAGTGCGGCTCGTCAGTCGCCAGTACTATGCGCGTATATTGTAAGGTTTGATCGCCATGTCTTGTCTCGTGAGTGATAGGGAGGATAGTATCTTATTGAAGACTGCAATTTTTCACGTCTTAGCTGATGTTGCCTGTGGATGTATAAAATTAGAATCAGTAGGTTATGATGAGGCGCCTACTGTACACTGAGATACTCGTCGTCTCGTACAAAACGGAATTTTTATTGATAAGGTTTTAATAGGCGTAAATGATTATTTGTAGTTAGATCGCGTTGTATCTTACCTATTATGTTATTGTGTTTACGTGTCTCAGTGTACAGTAGAGTAAATAGAGAGGTCGAAGGAGCTTAGCTGAAGTTGACTTTGATCGAACTGTATCACTGATAGGAGTCACTATTTACTTCCATAACATCATCATGTGAAATAATGGACTACATAAGTTTAATGATTAGTGCAATAATTAGGCAAAGCCTACTTTAAATTTAAAGTTTTGTATCTTAGTACTGTAATTCTAAATTATGACATGAAGTTATCATGTTCGCATCACAACGGAGGTGTTTGTGAGGTTGTATAGCGTAAGTACTTGATACTGACATGGTCTCGGTTCATTGGATTGTTGTACGCATCACAATGTATTTGATTATTGTCAAATAACATTAATTGTAAGCAGCTTTTTGTAGGTAAGGGCGTTGTACACTTATGTTGTATTTCATATTCGTATTAGCTGTTTATAATGAGAACTGTACTCGGCAAACTAGCTACTTTACATTACAACTATCGTTCGGTACGTTATCCAAATATTAGACGAGGCTACTACGTTTTCATCGACAACTAACAATAACTTAGTATTATTAAGTTGACCGTCAAAATCTTACTCTTGATAAAGTATTATAAACTTCCAAAAGAATCTCTCTCTGTATTAGAATTATAAGCTTTCTAGTCAAAAATGGATTTCATATTGCATTTTTATTGATATAATTGGAACTTTCTTAAGGTATTGGAAATTATTACTTTCTTTGTGACTTATTTGGTTTAAATGTTCGCTCTGTCATTGCAGCGGGTTATTTGTATTATAACCGTAATACTTTGATGATCTCACAACATGAACATTGGACATAGCTTACACACACACATCACAACATTGCATTGCAACATTTTGCCTGGAGGACCGCGAGCTTGCTGCAGTGACAGAGTCTGTTATCGGATTTTTTCATACTTGTTCTTTCTCCTAGTGATGGCTCATTCATACGTAATAACATAGTTTTTGTATTGTATTGTAGACTTTACGGACACATTATTATCATCTTCATTCTAATCTTCATCGGAAAAGCATTTATTTGGTAATAGATACCAGTAATTTTCATAACAGCGAATAACGTTTGGCATCTGAATTCTGTGATAAATTTTTATTCAATCAAAATGTAATTTTGACATTATAATGCAATACCAATCGGAAAATTAGTTACTATTATACATTGTATACATAGATTATGTTTCGGATTTGTTTAGGTTTATTGTTCAGCTGGTGGTTGCTCGGCATAGACTGATTCAACTACAACTTGACACGCGGAGGTGTCTACAACTACCCCCTAGTATTATTTCACCGATTACAAGTCAATTCGGTTAAAGCAATCATCAGCTGTATTTATGTTATATCAAAATTGGCCTTGCCATGTAATTTATTATTTGTATTTGAAGATTATTTTATAATGTAAAGGTGGTAATATAGAAATGAAAAGCAGTGCTTAGAAATAAATTAATAATGATTAATGTTTTATTTTTATTTATATCCACTAGTTTGTCCTTTTGCATGCTTAATGTTATAAACTATACTTACATACGACTTGAGTTTTACGTGAGGAGTCAGGAATGTTCATCAAGGTACCCTAATTTTTCTGCGCAGTCAGTAAATAAAACGACAAATGGGTAGGAGATAAATTATATTATTTTAACATTTAATATTACATCAATTATAATGTGGACAAGTAGGTAAAAGTAACCAAATGATGCAGTGGAATGATCAGACAGATGATGAAGGACATAGCCACGACTATACTAAAGATACTATATGGTAATTTGAAACATTGAACATTGTGAAATGGATGAATACAAAATATAAACTATACGTGTGGAATGTTTTATGATATAAACACACATTTGGCACAATTTTAAGTACACGATAAGTACAATATTAATATAATATTTCATAAATATCGAAAATATCAATTAGTAATTCCCCAAATTCTCAAAGCACACTTCTCTTGAGTATTTGCGTTACGCTCGTCATAGTGTTAGCTTGAAAATTTTGATATATTCAGGTGTAGGCTACATCTGACAATATTGCTAGACAAAGATTCCGTTCATGATACTTTTCTATAACGATAATTCAGCAGACGATGCCTACACCAGAATAATGAATAGGCCTTCACCATGATTTAAAAGTACGCCCATACTGGGGAATTTAATAAGAATATCTCTGAAAATACATAATTATACTATAATGAGTATTACTTGATGGATTAAGCATTTATAACTATGATAAATACACCGTAGAAAAACGTACAAAACATCTATTTCTTATCATCATAATATGGTTAATAACATCGTAATATATCTATGTAGAATATTGATTTTCTAATGACATTGCAAAACTACCAATGCTCGGCCTCCACCAAAACGGAGATCTGCGAAGATGTCCGAAACGGAATCGAGAACAGATATTTTTTAAGTACATACATAATTTCAATCAAATCTTGGTATTCATTCCACCACACAGATGTGATATCTCCATCTGAGTTCAGTGGTACCCACAGAAAGTGAGTGTTAAGTAAATAATGAAATTCTATTTGTTGTTTAAAAAATATCTCTGCTCTGTTAATTTTCTCTTCGTTTCGGCGGAGACCTAAATGTGCGTAAACAGCAAAATATAATCTTACAACCTACTTTTGTTTTTGTACAGATTATTCGATGAATTCACTACCTTTCGTTTTGTTGGAAACTGAGAACTTTTTAACATTTACAGAACACAGAGGTTCATAAGACAATTGAGATGCGGGACCGCGTGCATGAGTGCACTGTTTCCCACTGTATTTTACTTGTAATATGTATTTCCTCGACGTTTAAAAAGTTAAACAATTTTTTTACTATACAGGCTTAAAATATAAAGAATCGCAATTCAAATTAATTTGATATGTAGGAACATTATATTGCAAACGAACAACCAAAAACAAAACATTCAACATAACAATACATTGACATCATGAAACGTAAATGCCTTCAACTAAGAACTAAGTACTTATTTGACGAGTGTTGTACAAACGTACTGATGAAATGATTTCATGTGTCAATAGAATACGAACTACACTAGGAATGTAATTATGTAAGTAATCTTATGCACCCTCCAGTAACAACTAAGGGAGCTCCCTCCCCATAAACCTGTACGTTCGCATCTTCAGACCTATAGGTCTACTAACATTTTCAAATTCTTTGGCCAGCCATAGCGGTATGCGAAAAAGCAATGATGCTTTGGTAGTCGTAATCCTGATATGAGATTACACGAGGCAAAGGGCTTTAATTAATAAGTAATTACGTCCTGACGTTTTATTGGTTGGCCTATCTGTGTTGATCAAGTGATGTAGTATCTTCTGATTTATTTTTTGCGAAAGCGTTGTTGGTTTACAAGAAAATCATCTCAGCCCAGAGTAGGACGAAATTGAAACTTCTTAATCTAACCATTATTACAATAAACCCGTATGTGCAAACGCATACAGTATACGATACTGATTATTTAACATTTAATGTAATTACAAAAATTCTAATACCATGGTTAAGTTTCCAAAAGTCTGTTCAAATACAAATTCTTATAAAATGTATAGTAAGTAGTACATTATGTTTCCAATTTCAGAAACGTATACTGCACTATCGCGTTCCGCACTAACATTCAAAAGGTTGTTTCAAAAACTTTCCTTTATTAATGAAAAACGTTACTTATAGGTTACGAGGTTTAAGATACTTGAGTATAATATTCGTTGTTATAAGACGTTAGTTGTTTAAGTAGTGGGGTCTACTGCGGTAGGTTTGAACACGTACACGGAGTCGTCGAGCCAATAGTAAGCTTGTGCAAAGTCCCCTTCACATAGATAAGGGGCTCGTGTCCACGAGACCAGCTCGAAGCCAGCCTCCTCGCGCATGAACTTCACGAAAGCAGCCAGCTGGTCTTCGAAGTAAGCTCCTTCAATCGGCAGACGTTCTTCTGGTTTATGATCCGAAGTCACTAGAATTAGAAAATACAATTGAAGATTATTTTTGTAAAGTCATTGTGAGTTTCAAAGCTAATTAATCAGGATATGGTAAGGTGCCTATTTTGTTTCCAGATACATATCGGTTTGTTTATCGATAACTTAAATCAGGTCTATTGAGGGAGGGTTGACGTCTGATGCTGATTATGATTTGTCATTCTGTGGTAGAACGCGACACAGCAGACAAATTCGGCATCCAAAGTGTAGAAGTAATGGCCTTACCTTCCACGTAAGGTTTGTAAGGCAAGACCAGTGCCAACATGAGTACTCCACCGGGAGCCAGCGCATCTCTAGCTTGCTTCAGCATGGTCTTTGGCTTGCTGCAGCGGTCCAAGAGGTTCAGCATGCAAATACAATCGAATTGGCGGTAGTGGTGCCATTTCTCTGTGTCCAGCAGTCTGAAATTCAATAAAATGTTTATGTTATAGTTAGAAATGAAATGTCATGAGCTTTTTATTAGATCTACAGGGTGATAAATGATAGTATTTGCTAAAGCTGAAGTGTGCTTCATTTGATATGGAGTGCTTCAATAAATAACGGTTACGGTAACTATGGGAGGGTTATGTCGAGGTTGTTTAGGTCGAGGTTATGAAACCTCCAGCTTGGTTTAGTTTGAGGAAAGCAATATTGTTTTTTTAGACTTCCAAATTCTTTGTGATATCACCATGGCGTTTCAAATTGTCACCTATGCTTTACTATATGCCAGCTGCTCATACACTGGTGACAAATTGACGACTGTAAATACTTTACCAAAGTTTCTGTTCAACAACTTACTTGTATCCCTTCTCGGCTAATGTTTTCCTCATGCTGGCCGATATTTCAGTGGCGTAGTTGTGCGGGTAGATGTGTGCGAAACGACGGCTGACCTCACCATCTCCCGCGCCGACATCGACTAATGCGCCCGCGCCGATGCCGTGCCCTGTAGTGCGGAGCAGCGCACGCGCCTGCGCCTCGGAGAGTACGAACATAGAACCACGACCCAACCATCTGTAACAACAAAATATATAATAAGAAAGAGGTAAGTACTAATTTTGTGGATATTCTGATATATAAACAGGCTTTCTTGAATTTAACGTTTTTGAAACTGCGAGGTTGCAGTCGATAGTTTGCTGTGTCATATGAGATCAGATCATGAGACACTAACAAACAACAAAAAAATGCAATGGATATAATTATGGTAGATACGTATGAATGTTTTTTTTTTTGAAACATGAACACAAAACTTTATGAACTTAAGCTTAAGCTTTTGAAGCTGAAATTCGTCCGTTCCGAGTGAGTGGGCATAACTTCTGTAAGTATTCCTGTTTTTCACATTCACGTAGGACATACAATGTTCAGTTAAATAGATTGATCATGATGAATACAGGGTACGAGAAAATTGCTTCAAAGAACAGGGTGTGTAACGTTCCACCGCACCGCCTGGAGTGAACATGCGATGGTATTACAGCCACGATTCAATGGAACTATTAATTTTCTTATCTAACTTAATTGTCCAAATAACAAAGTTCGTCCGATGTTTGAACCTTCTAATTTAAACGTGGATAGCTTCCTTGAAAGCGATTTGTGCGCTAGTTGTCGAGCTAGGCAACAATAGCGCAATTATCGAGTAGGTACTGGCGTGGATCGTGTGGTGGTGGTGGTTGGAAGGTGTATCGGCGGTGCACGGTGCCGGTGTGCCGGACCGCAATTACCGGGATCAAGTACAAAGCTCGCTGCGGGCTACAACGCGACCGTGTGGCGGTGTGGCGGCGCGGCGCTGCCCGCTCGCCGGCAAATTGTGCGCCTGCGGCTCCGCGACCCCGCGACGTCTTCATCGCGCCCCGGGCACCAACACAAGTGGATAATGAGTAGTAAATCCCGCTCTCATTAGCTGAGACCGAGCGACGCTCCGATCGATACGAATTCGTCTGCGCCGGGTAAAGGGATAATCGGCGCTGGGCTCGAGGTCTGTTATTAGCCGTAGTACCATATATCACGTACGGCATTATCCGCGGCCTCCGGCGTGCGCGCCGCAATTACAGCCACCCGAACAGCGCACACCGTTCAGTCACAATGCCCTATTAGGAAAGCCTTAGAGGTAGTGTTGCCTAAGTCTGAAACTAGAGTACCTTTCCGAGATGGTCGTCTGCATCTTCGGATAGCAAACAAGTAGAGAACATGTAGTTAAGTCGCGTTACACGACAGGTATAGTTTGATACATATGTATTGCGTCGGACACGGCGGAGCGTCGTCGTCGGTCGCTGGCAGCTCGTTTGCGGAGGCGCGCGGTGCCGATTGATTGCTTTATTGTCTGGTCGGAGGCTGGCGCTGTGAGCGACGCGCAATACATGATACATGAAGCGGCCGCGCGTCCGCAACTAATGAGCACCGGCACCGCGTAATTGTCACCGGCTGCCGCGTAAACTCGCCAGATTCCACACTCGATGTGACAACACACGATTGAGTCAACACGCAAAAAGATCGCGGGAATATGACGGCGGTTGTTACTGTGTTGTCGGCGGAATCAAGTGATTGATTTATTAGGATTATAACGAGCATAAGGACCGTTGTCGAGGTGACACTTCAACCTTCGTGTATGGAATAAAAACTTTCAAAATGACTACAGAGTGCGACATATCATGTCTAGTGTAGGTGGGTAGCATTGGAGGTGTTGAAGTAATAGGTAACAGAAACCACACGGAAGAGCGCGATCTGTCGACTTGTGTGAAAATAGTGCGGCGCAGGGTGACGTGTAAATCGAGTAGAGCAGTAGGTAGGTGGATAGGCGGGCGCGCGGGTAGATATCTATTTCAATAGAATGCGGTGGCTTGCAACAAGGAATCCGATGCGGTTATCGACGACGGAGGTGAGAGATGTGTCGCCGGCGGGGCAGGGGCGCGGGTGGCGCTCGTATCGCGATTGCATCGGAGAGCAAACAAGCGGGCGCGACACCCCGCCGGGGGCGCTCAAATCATATTACCCCCGGCCTCACACCCGCGCCGCGCCAGCGCCACACACGTCATAAGAGTGTGCGTCGCTATGGCGACGGCCCGGGCCGTGCATGATATTAGTACGTGTGCGGCTCATCTCCGGCCGTTTAAACTTAACGCGCCACCGCCTCGCGCGGGAAATTAAAACCGGCTGCGGACCGGAAGGAGCAATCGACCCTCGCGCTGTCGTACGGTACGGCTCACGGCCGGCCGCCGCTCACACCGCACACACACCTCGTGTCGCTCTACTCGCTTGATTTACAACGCGGTACACGAGAACATGATACTCTGTACTACTTATACCTACCCTACACTTCCAAGGAGTGAGGTCTGGAAAACTATAAGTATTTTCACTTCAGGTTCGATAAATCAGATACATAACTTCAAAGCGTTTTGTTTTTGTAACTAGGTAATAGGTATGTACTTAATCTTTAGTATTATTACTTACAACTCGCACTGCTTCATTACGAATGTGTTGTTAAAGATGTTGAAACTGTTGTGTGTACACAGTTGCATCGCAAATTAATTTGCCAACATCTTTTATCCTGAAACTTATTTGAAACAACATACCTAACGTTTTATGTATCCATCGTAAACGTACACTAGATACACATTAAAATAGAACGTAGATGGAGGCAGCTCCCCCTATGTAGATACCTACACATTTGCTTTACTCAAAGACATTGTCGCTTTCAGGCACCTCATTAGAGCGCGTCCCATGTGAGCCTACCCTCACCCGCCGACTCTCCCCCCCACACACACATGCACACACTTTCCAGCAATTCTTTCTCTCAGCTCGCAAACTTGGACGGATAATTACACTTAGATAAGAACCCGTCCTTGTTATGTGTTTTACGATAGCACCGTTTTATGTGAAACGAATTATATTATGTAAGTAATGCGATAGAAATTAACTTGGAAAACAGTAAAACCTTTGTAGCTTTAGGATTTTTGTATGATGGAAGTAAAAGCCGGGTAGACTACGAGACTCGTACGAAATAGTAATGTGAGTGGAGTTTGATTGTCATTAAATGATCCTGCCGTTGACTGTTGTGGTTTATTGGGCGGTTACAGGTAGATTGGTCGCGGCACGCCACTAGAACGGTCATGGATACTGCCTGGCAGCCCAGCCAAATATACACATGATAATTCCAAAAGTTTCCGCTTGACATCAGGCCGCAATAAAAATCAAGTTCTATAGCATACAATCGAACGTCAGTCGAACGTTACGCGCGGTGTCATAACCCCGAACAGCACTCAAGCTGCAATAAACTATAAAAAGTGGATAGTAAAATGTATAAACAATGAGAGCACGGCTAAAACGTTTTAGTGTTAAGAGTGGGCCCATAAACCGTTGACACGCACCCGTAAAATATTAACGATACCTACAAGAAAAATGACGACTATCAATGTAGGTACCGATTTTCGGTCGCGAGGACGCGCTACAAATAATGGCGGTACCGAATTTATACGCGGACCCGAATTGCCCCGATTGAATATTTTACCAGGCCACGAATGCGTCCAACGATATTTTTCTATTTCGACGCCCATTTTTACTATCAATCGCTTAGTTTCCCCCTAATATTATTCCTACTGTGTCGTATTTGATTCTGGTTTGAATATCACACGGACTGTTGACAATATTAACGATCTATTAGAAACAATAACCTTCGAATTTAAATGACACTGAAATTATGTAAAATATGTGTACGTAGGTAACGTTATTTTACATATTGGTTATTGTATTTCAAAATGTCTATTTGTATTTTGTTTACTTGAAGATGTGAATGTTTGTGAGGCTGTTGAATGTTTATATCTTTAGCGTTTCGGAAACACAATAACCTTTAAAAGGTGTAAAGGCGTGGGCTCAATTCGAGTCCCAGTCAGGGTTTAAAATAACTCCTCGGAGGCGAATGGTTTATTGCTTATTGAGTAGCTCTGACGAAACGCGCCTCCGACGATAAAACATGGCCAGAGTGGAATCTCAGTCAATATCACAATATACGCGACGACATTGAAATTATCGCTCGGTGGGAGGCGATGCCGGCCGGCGAGGTGGACCTAACTAAAACAAAATAAGAATAGTTTGAAACAATGAGCATTGTCGCGATGTCTGTGCGTGTGCGGCGTGCGGCGTGGCGGTACAGCGGAGCGGCGCGGGCGCAGCGGGCGCGTGGCGAGCGGCGCGGGTGCGGGCGCGACAGCACCTCGTTAGCGAGCCGCGCGCGATTGGCCACCGCGCGGTGGGCGGGGCGCGCGACAAACTGCGCGCACGCAAATAGCGCACCCGCACACAAATTAAAACAATAAAATGAAAGTAATAAAACAAAGTGAACCCCGAAGAGTATCCACTATCGCGAGCCTTAATGGCCGAGCGGAGGCGGCCGCGGCAGCCTCTCAATTTATTGAGTAAGGTGCTTCGCTCCTCGACCTCAAGCACACGACAAAATCGGAAAATATGCGATTGATATATAAGTTTTACTTTCCCCATAAATTATTCTATTCTAACAGGAATCCATAGGAAACAAAAGATTCGAATAGCATAGGTATCCATAGACTTGGAGATGAAAATTGATGAAAATCTGTAATTAGTATAAAATACTAACTAAACAATGGGATTGTATAACTTTGTGCCCTATTACCTAGGTACCTGTATCCACTTACCAAGGCGGTCCAAAAAAAATGCCGTTTTATCATATATGTAGGTACCTAATAATATCAGAATGGAGCTTCGGGCTAGGCTGACGTTGTTCCAGCCAGAAAAATAATAATTTAGGTACATTTGTTCATTATAGAATAGAATGATGTTAATTAATCACGTTTTTAATACAAAAGGTTGCTGTTAAGTTAACCAACTTTAATAGGTTTATTAAAATTAAAGTCATCGCTAGGTCGGTCACTTTAGTGTTTCGTTAGAGAATGATCAAGGTGTGCTAAACCTGAATTACCTAATATTCACTTTAATCTTCAAGTTCAGCCTTAGATATCAACATTAATCACAAAAACAGAGATCGCCAA